TTAGAAAAAAATCAAAAAAGATCGCTGCTCGAAAAGTTTCCGGCGGAACCGGCTTGTTTGCAATACCGATTGAATTATCGCCCCGAAGCACCTTTTCCCCGAGTTTGGTCGAAAAATTTCAGCTCGGTCGAAAGTTAAGCGATTTCAACGGAAAGGGCAAAGTGGAAAAAAAGTGGTGGGCCTTTTCGACAAAAATTTGGTCCGCGGATAGGTCTCGTGGGCAGAAAAAAAGGATGCAAATTTCGAGTGTCTCCCTGCTACGGCGGTTAGAAAAAAAATGATACACAGACAACATTTTTTTTTTATTAAATTCGATTACGATTTGATACATACCTTTAAAGTTGTCGTAGCTGCCCTCCTTGTCACATTTTCGCGATCCGCTCCTGGTGCGATAGGAAAGCTCGCTTCGCGCGATTCCCAACAAGCTCAGCAAGCTGAGCTTGGTGCTTGATGCGGGTAGGAATCGCGCTGCGACCGGTCCACCTGGCAACGTGGCAATTTGGTCCAAGGTCAAAATTGTTGTCAAAAACGGGTTTAGTGACCTCGATTTACTTTAAAACGACTGCTTACTCGGATATTCGGAAACCAAAATTATCCCAAGGCACTTTGGGTCAAAATTTTTGTCAAAAACGGGTTCAGTAACCTAGTTTTACTATAAAATGAGTGGTCACTCGGATATCCGGAAACCAAAATTACCCCATGCCCTTCAGGTCAAAAATTTTGTCAAAAACGGGTTGAGTGACCTAGTTTTACTATAAAACGAGTGGTCACTCGGATATCCGGAAACCAAAATTATCCCAAGGCCCTTTAGGTGAAAAATTTACTCAAAAACGGGTTCAGTGACCTCGATTTACCATAAAACGAGTGGTCACTCGGGTATCCGGAAACCAATATTTTCCCACGTTCATGTGAATTGCGTCACGTGATCTTCGCCTTAAAAGAAAACCTATAACTTTTGCCCTCCATATACGAACATAAAACATATCCAGTGTTAAAATGAATTGAACAAGGGCCATTTTGTTTTAATTTTTTTCCGAATTATTTTTGGTATGTAAACTAACTGTTGAACTCTGTGTGACTAAAGGGCACAAAAACACCATTGACAAACTTAATGCCTTTTTATTGACGATTTAAAAGCAAAAATTACGAAAGCGTAGAGCTGCCATGTCAATATTAAAAAATATATTTGGGAAAATTTACACTTTTTCTGTAAATTTACACTTTTTCTGTAAATTTACACTTTTTCTGTCTATTTAAAATTTGTTCTGCACAAATTACTACCCAGCAATACGTTATTCAGTAGTGAGAAGCGAGCTTTGTTATATGCCTGTTAAGTGTCGACGAAGTGTATTCATTAGATATTATGGACGAATATATTAAATCCTACTTTCAAATCGGATTAAGGCATAAAGAAATCTTGACATGTCTTCTACGAGCCCTAACCACATAATGTTCGGACACTTCATAATTTATACAGAAATTTTTTTCGTGAATACTATCTCAAAATTATTAGAAGTTATGAAAAATTCAGCTTATTTTGGCATATACCCCTCGAAGCGATTTTTATTTTTAAAAAGTTTACCTTTTATTTTTAGCTTTTAAAAAAAGGCTAACTTTTTAACTTTTTTTTGTATGAGTAAAAAAAGTTATAAATGGACCCATTAAAAAGAGCATAAAATATTATACAAACCCTGAAAATTTGGTAAAAAATAAATAAGTTATAAAAAAGTATAAGTAATTTAAAAATGCTATTTTTAAAGAGTTTTTGCAATTTTCTTAGGAAACGGGAGATTTTGCAGATATATATATCGCTATAACTTTCTTATTATTTATACAATTTTTACCAAATTTTCAGGGTTTGTATAATATTTTATGTTCTTTTTAATGGGCCCATTTATAACTTTTTTTACTCATGCAAAAAAAAGTTAAAAAGTTAGCCTTTTTTTAAAAGCTAAAAATAAAAGGTAAACTTTTTAAAAATAAAAATCGCTTCGAGGGGTATATGCCAAAATAAGCTGAATTTTTCATAACTTCTAATAATTTTGAGATAGTATTCACGAAAAAAATTTCTGTATAAATTATGAAGTGTCCGAACATTATGTGGTTAGGGCTCGTAGAAGACGGTTATGTTCTAAGTTTACGTCATTTACGAAGGCATCTAAGGCGACTTCGTTTATTTCGAAGAAATATTTACACGGACACGGTACAATTTTTGGAAACACAAATATCGACACACGGTCAGCTACACGCAGGGCCGGCCCGACTTTTTTTGCCGCCCCGGGCGAAGATATTTTTGCCGCCCCCTTTTTATTCAGCAGGAATAGGAAAAAAAGTAGTTTAACGTAATTATTTTTTCAAACTTTTTATAAGAGTTTTTGAATGCTGTAGAATTACTAGGTAAGGCAATATATTGTTAAATATGTATATATACATAATTGCATCACTTGTCAATGATTAGGTATATCCCATATATAGGATATATATATGTAATAAAAATATATTATTAAATAGTGTCACTATTATAGTGAGTATAATTAAACAATATTTTTATATTACAAGAATTCTTTGGTTTGTTAAAATTTACTTTCGCAATATTCCGCGAGCTATAGCTATAGATTATTACATACATAGGTAATTCCTGTTAAAATATCGTATTTTTAATGTAAAAGTATACAGACCGAGTGCACCCGAACATTTTAAGTAACTTACTTACTTCAGGTGAATCGATCATCTTTAAAAAAAAGTAAATTAACTTAATAATTACGTAATGAGTTTAGCGGACTTTGGCAAAACCGAATCCTGCTGTGATGCACGTCAGAAGATTGATTTTAGACCTCTAAAAACAATGTTTAGATGTACACAACAAAAATTAAACCTCATTTTCATATATGCAATATTGTTTAATTATAGTATAATTATTATACCTGCCTACGATGGTTCTTTTTGCAAGAATTTGGAAAAGGTTGCTGCTAGTACTCGATTTTCCGCCGAACGCGCCCTTCTTTTGTTTTTATAAAAAGTTCCTGAATCTTTTTTGCGTTTTCCAGACATTTTATACTTCTAATTATCAAATTACCTTAGCTATGCACTGATATAAAAATCAGTGCAAATGCACGTGATATAATATTTGTCAATTGTTAATTGTCAAACAAAATTATAGAAAACTACAGGATGTGATTGAAGAAACGAATGAAAGAGGGCGCCAGGGTCGTCTTCCGAGAGCGCCTTTATTAAATCTTTGTAACAAAGATGTTAAATTATCTAAACTGCATTTCTCGAGCGTAATTCTTGAAAAAATCGCCAATCGAAAAATGTTTAATATGTTGAATAAAATTGATTATCATTAACAAATCGTAAAAATGCCGCCCCCCCATTATGCCGCCCTGGGCGGTTGCCCGGTTCGCCCGTACCTCGGGCCGGCCCTGGCTACACGGCTACAGGTGGATGCAAACAACACCAAAGAAGCAAAAGTTCCTGGTTAAAAGTTGGCAACACAATAATCGCCCGAAAGTCTGAGATGCGCTTGACACAGGTCACAAGGCTACCAACTTACACAACATAATGTTACGTACGAGCTTCATGTCTATTATGTTTTAGATAAAAATGCATAGATGGCGCTGATTATTTTTTCTTTCTTTCTTTAGGCGGGAATTTTAAATGTAATGTACAGGTATAATGCATTTAATATAATAATAAATAAAACTAGAAAGTTTTTATAAATAAAATTTAATAAGTAAACTAATATTAAACAGTATAAGATAAATTTTACAATATTAAACAATATAAAATTAGTATTAAACAATATAAAACTAGTATTAAACGATATACCTATAACAAATTTTAAAAAATATAAAATTAATATAAAACAGATTTTACAACAAACCACTAATATTAAACAGTATAAGATAAATTTTACAATATTAAACAATATTCAACTAGTATTAAACAATATAAAACAGATTTTACAATGTTAAACAATATAAAACTAATATTAAACAAATTTTACAATATTAAGCCTTATATGATTTTTGAAATAACTAATGAAATGAAATGAAATAAGCTAAAATTTTAAATTTATTTAATATTAATTTATATTGTTTAGAGAAAAACATTTTTTATAGAAAAATACTAATTATTTATTATATTGACCCCATATAAAACATTTACCTATGATTGACATTATTTTGACAAACTAATAAGAATTACAAGTCAAAATAAAAAATTTCTCACCAGATCCTGAAAGTTCCTCGGACTGCTTGTGGCTCCTATTTTGAAGATTAAATCCTTAAGCTCTTGATCTCCTTTTTGGATTCCTGTTGCTTGTTTGCCTAAAAGTTTATTAAAAAAGTTAGATATAATAATATAAAAATCATTTAATTGTACCTAGCAATTTTAAGAATTGTTGCTTGTTTTTAGACGATGGGCGTGGCTTAAAGCCACTGGCTTTATAAAACAGCTGATTTTATAAAGCCCGTAAAAACCAATTAGATTCTTAAAACTTGTTTTTAATAACTGAACAAACATGCGAAGAATTAATAATCACTTTTTGCTTACCTAACTTTGTTTTTTTTTCACTTTTTACAGCACTTTCCAATACGAACAAAATTTGACAGCATCTCTTCCTATGTCCATTGAAAAACTGGCTTCCCCCACCCCGCAATTTACCTATATACCTAATTACGCGTATGCTTTTAGAAATGGGCAATGGGTTAATTAAAACACCGGAGCATATTTCTGCGAATAACAGAAAAAAATTTTGCTAATTTCATTCAAAAAACCCGTTTCATATAGATTTAAAAACATAATAATATATGTGAAGTTAGAATCGTTTTTGTTTATTTAAAGTTGGCAACGACGTGATCCAGAGCATCTCAGACTTGTTCGGGTACCTTCGGCTGTTTCCTTTCGCCCTATTTCGGTTTTGCTTCTTTGGTGTTCTTTGGGTGGATGCACCTTAAGTGCCTTCTGCACGGATTTGTTGTGACTCAAAATACAGTCAGAGAACTGCTACGCACTTTGGATCCTGATGGAGTTAGACTACGTCAGCGACGTCGTCTACGAAGGAGACAATACTACAATAAAGGCCCCAATTTTCTCTGGCATACCGATTGTTACTATAAACTGAAGCCATTTGGAATTTGTATAACTGGTTGCATAGACGGATTTTCTCGTTATATTATCTGGTTGAAAGCTGGACCAAATACCAACGGCCCTTCGGTAATTGCTTATCATTTCATGCAAACAGTTACAATTAAAGGTGGATGTCCACAGACTTTACGCGCCGATTTGGGTACTGAAAATGTCATCATTGAACGAATACAAACAAATCTAAAACTGGAAAGACCGGATGCGCTATCACATCTTCCAGGATTCTTATATGGAACAAGTCATGCAAATCAACGCATAGAGGCGTGGTGGTCAACCTTAAGAAAACATCATTCGCAATTTTGGTTGAATGTATTTCATACTTTAAAGGATGAGGGCTCATTCTCAGGAGGCCTAATGGATAAATCACTTATACAATTTTGCTTCTTAGATATTATAAAGGTAAGTCGGTCTTTGATAAACAATAATTATTCAATAAGTACTGTTAACAGTGACAACATAACAGGTTCTGTCGAGGGTTCTGTAACAGAACTTCTGTTTAATCCGATCTAAGATACTTGCTACTATTCAAAAGGATATATGTCACCATTGAAGTACTTACAATTTGACCCTGGTATAATAATGATTTTTCTGAAATATTTTACACATAGAATAAAAATACATTTTACATAATAATTCATTATTACAGTTGTTACTCTTAGACAAAAATACTCAACCGGGCTTTAAATAAGTATACAAAGAATAACATTTTATTATTGTGCAAAAGTTCTATGTCTACTTAAAAATTAGGTCAAAATTTGTATTAAAAAAATAGTTTTTATAAAATATTCTAAAAACACTTTTGCCAACTTATTTATAGTAGGATTTTAATCATTTTTTTTTTATTTCAGTGGCGTGCCCAAAATTAGCGTAACATAATTTAAATGTAAAAAAAATATTTTATAAAAAAATAGTTTTTAAAATAACGCTTTTGCTGATTTTGTCAAAACTTAAGTAAACTTAGATAATTTAATTAGTGCTAATAGCACGTTTTTTAGTAATAGAATGATTAAAAATGCGTATTTGGTGTTTTTCTCCTTAACCCTGTATGAAGAAAAATTTATTTAAAATTCCTTTAACCTTAAAATAGATCCAACTTTAAGGCCACACAAGTCGTTCACCAGATGCTTATAATATGAATCACCCTGTGTAATAATATTTGTATGCATGCTTATTTGAAGCCAGCTTCAATATTTTTGTCTACGAGTTAAAACTAAAACGACGAATTATGTAAAATGTTTCAGAGAACTCATTTTTCAAGAATGACCGCGTTTGATATTTTTAACTCATTTTTCGACTACACTCGATAGACGTAGATCTTTTGCGCAGTGATAAAAAGTCATTTTTTGATATCAGTAATGCTAATCAGCAGATCAAATCAAGTAAACCATAAAGCGAACCAACTACACCACAATATTTGCATTAAACTTAAACCTTTTTTTGTCTAGGAGGAACTTGATACTGTTGTCCTAGAATGGAATACGCATAGAATAGCGCGTTCTAGAAATAGCATTGCACCTTATGGACGACCATTCATGATGTATAACAGACCTCAAGATTTCATGTCCACCGACTACTTACATCCTGTAAGCATTGAGATGACAGAACTTTGGTTGGAAACAATACAAGACTCACTTCAGATTATGACGTGTACCAGTTGGCTGCAATAATTATGGAGGAAGAGGGATGGGTCAAGACCAAACCACTGAACTATACTATAGTTCACTGAACTATACAACTGTATAGTTCAGTGTAGTATAGTTCACTATAGTTGGTTGTATAGTTCAGTGGACCAAACACGTAGAAGCAGCCATAGAATTATACAAGAATTTGAGACAGAAGTTTTTGAATATTCTTCCAATTCTATAAAATGATACCTATTATAGGTAACCTATATAAGCGTGGTTGTATTTTTTAACATTAAATATCTAAATAAAAGTTACGAATATATGTAATAATACAACAACGTTATAAAAATCTTTTATTATCCTAAGAATATTTTTTTCCAGTTGCCCTTCATTAAAATTAGAGTTGCCGCGAATAGTTGCTGTAGCCTATGGCGAATAGTCGTTGGTAATCAAGACATATAGATAATTGTTAGATTTCCGTAGCTTAAAGACAACTGTATACATGTTATTGTTATTTATTATCAAATGTGGTATCGGTTTTTATGTCGAATTATTTGCCATTATTCGCCATTAATATTCGACATAAAAACGATACCATAATTAGACATATATAACAATCAGGTATACGGAAATCTTACCTATATTTCTTAATTACAAAAAAAATAACCCGATTTTTTCCCTCATATATGGCTAATAATTCCACTATTCCACTATTCGCTATACTCAGACCGCAAACTCCACAAATTCTTCCATGCCGAGAAACATACACAATACAATACTGTCGTCTGCAATTGAACTGGCATAGAACGGAGTTCGGCCGTAACTACTCGTAGGATAACGAACCAGTGTTGCCACAAAGGCAGAAATACATTTACAGAAAAAGTGTAAATTTACAGAAAAAGGGTAAATTTACAGAAAAAGAGTAAATTTACAGAAAAAGTGTAAATTTACAGAAAAAGTGTAAATTTACAGAAAAAGTGTAAATTTTTCTAAATATATTTTTTAATATACTGCTGGTTTATTACAATTATTTTAATAATAAAATTTCAGAAAAACCTTAAAACAAATTTTATCGAACACAGACACTGCTTAGCAGTGATTGCTATCTAATATGACTACTGAATGAATGAATTTCATCTGAAATAAATTTATATCCTTTGCATAAAAACAGAAGCGAATTTGCTTTCTGCACGCGCTTAAAGAGCGGCATCCTTTTGTCTTTTGTCGGCTTTACACCGCGTTATTAAAAAGAAGCCGCATTATTCTAAAATAATAAAAACAGATTATAATATTCGGGGGTAATTACACAAGTGCTTAAAAATTATCTATAATTTTGCTTGAAAGCATATTACCTAAAAAATGCATGAGTTCATTTTCATATTTTCCTCAAAATATGAAAATGACCGAATGCATTTTTTAAAAGGCAATATGCTTGAATGCAAAATTATCTGATTATTTTTATGCACGAGTGTAATTTGTTTAGATAATTACACGAATAAACTAATTAAATCATATTTTTTGTTGTTCGCAGTATTTATTGGTACACTATTTTTCACATTTTCATTAATTGATTCAAATGATGCTTTACCAAAACGTGACATTTTAAATAACTGTCACATTAAAATAAAAACTGAAGTTATTTTTATTAATTGCCATGGATACGTGTATACAATGGAATTATCGATTCGTAGTAGCAGGCCCGTTCCTGGGGTGTCTGGCGCCTACGTGCAGCATTCTTTGGTGCTTTATATTTTAATTTAAAGGCCTAAAATTAATTAATAAAAAATATTTATTTTGCAACAAACTGTCAATATGTAATTAAAAATGTAAAAAAACTGCTTATTAAATTACCAAACAAACAAAACAAAACATATAAACAATATAATACCTAACTACAACTGGTTTTTAGTGACGTATTCTCTAAAAATGAATTAGTCAAAAATGACTAGTTTTCAAAGTGAAAAAGCAGTCTCTAATAACTGTAGTACACAGCAATTTGTATTCCGGACCAGTGGCGTAACAAATTCTGAGTGGGGCCCCCCGCAAAACGATTTTAATGGGCCCCCTTTACAATGAGTAAAAAGTTTATTATTAGCCTTAGGAAATTTTTAAATTGGTTTATTATAGTACTTTTAAACTCATATTAATAATATTATATACATAATATTTTTTTTAATTAAAATTTTTGACAGGTAGGTAAAGAGTGTATACGATAGACAGGCATAACTTATGTCACATAAGATAAGCAAATAAAAAAGGATTAGGTAAGAAAAATTTATCGACAATATGCAAATTCGCACATGCGTAAAAACTTAATTAAGTTCATGTGTAGTTATCGTTTGTTAATTATAATTATATATATAAACAGAAAATAATTAGGTAATTATTATTTAAATATTTTTTTAAAAGAATGGAATAATATATTATAGAATTGCGAAAATGATCCTGCAAATAAAAAGGTATATAGAATAAGATTTTTAAACCAAAATTAATTAAATATTTTCTGTTTTACTACCAAAAATTGCAGATACAGTCTAGATACAGCCTGTAAATATTTAATTAATTTTGGTTTAAAAAATCTTATTCTATTCTATAATAGATATATAATATATTATTAAGATTCTTTAAAAAAAAATTTAAAAATAAAAATTACCTAAATATTTTCTGTTACGATAACTACACATGAACTAAAATAAGTTTTTACGCATGTGCGAATTTGCAAAGAACCAAATTGTCGATACAAAATTTTAAAATAATAAAATACAGGTTGCCTCTTTATCCACCATGGTAATTCTATAAAGTTTATATTTTGTCGTATTGCATTTAATTTAATTTTTTAAAATTTGTTAAATTTTAATTATTTTTAACAAATAATTTTTGCATAACTTTCAAACCAAATAACAATAGAACTAAAATATAACAAATAACATTATTAATTCAGCAAATATTAACATTTGGAAAAGCGTTTAATAGATGGCGCCCTAGGTTTGGTCTAGGGATGGCGCTACAACCGCATTTTATTTCTCGCGCATGTTCAAAATCAACGAATTAAATAAATATTTTTAACAAAAAATACTTATACGTTTAGTTGTTTAAGATTTTTTATTTTTTTTTTAAGATTGAATATTTAAAAAATTAAATATTTCTTTAATTTATTGGTTTAAACTTTTAAAGAGTGATGTGAGCCTTGGGCCCCCTGACCCTCTGGGCCCCCCGCGGTGCGGGGTCTGCGGGGGTGCTTATTACGCCACTGTTCCGGTCATTTAACAGCTTATTATTATTTAAAATTGTCCCCTGAATCCGAAAAGACCGTCAAAAATTATGAAAGTAGAGCAGTTTTTGAAATATTTAATTCCATATTATATCGACCCATGCAACGAAGACTATTGTAACTCAGTTTTGATTTTAGACTAGAGTAACTCAACTTAATATAGTTTTTTCCTGTAGAAATGTGGATTATTACACTTACTATACAGGGAAGTTGTTCACTGGTTGCCTATCGTTTCATGTCCGAGTTACTGTAATCTTCTGACAAATAGAGCATGAAAAAATCTGTTGATGCCATATAGTAAGTCAAAACCCACGTTTTTTGAGTTACTATAGTCTTCGTTGCATGGGTCGATATGGTCGATATGTTGACTATATCTCAAAAACTGTTTTACTTTTATAACTTTTGACGACAATTTTACATAGGAGTTGACTGCTAAATGTCCGGGATACAAATTTCTGTTGGCGATAATTATTATTGAATTTTAGATAGTAAGCTCGTTACCAAGCCATGTACTGTGTAAACAACTGTTAAACTTTGCTACCGTCAACTGCAACAATCAAATAAATACTATAGCTATTTGTGTATTAAGAGCGCAAAGTGATATATTGTCGCTCTGAGGGAGAAGTTTGACGCCCGCCGCTTAGCGGAGCTTGGCTATCTCGCGAGAGCGGCAATGTCACTTTTATAAAACCGGTGTTTTTATAAAAATGTTTGGTAATAATTAATAATTATTAATTATAATTATTAATAACCTCAAATTTGACTTTTGTATACTAGACGTATCGTTATTATGGTTTCCATGGTAACTAAGCGAGCGTTTTTGATCCTTTGTCGCTCGGTGATCGACAAAGTAAAAAAAACGCTTGCTCTTTGGAAAAGTGCAACTTTGCGCTTTCTTTTGAAAGCGCAAATTTGTACTTTTCGCTCGGTTGTAGAAAAAATATTATGGCAATTTATCTCCTTTCATTTTGATACTCATATCAAAAAAAAATTATGCCGCCATTATCAAAGCGGCAAAAGGCGCTTTATAGCGGCCGAAAAAAAGAGCGGCATAGGGCTTAACGGCGGCCGACGCAAAGAAAGGCGGTAACCTTTATCCTATGTATGTTTAAGTATTTGTTTATTTGCAAGAAAGTTTATCGTTACAAAGTACTGATTGACTTATTGATTTTGCGCCCCCAAAATGTTGCGCCTGCGTGCGTGCACGCACTGCACACTCGCCAGGAACGGCCCTGCGTAGTAGACAATTATCGCTGCAATCAACCGATAATTGTCTTGTAGGCATATATAAGAGGGTAATTATCGCCGTAATTGTTTATTGTTTATTTGATATATTTTTGGTAGAAATAAACCATTTGGTAACAATTTTTAAATTTTTAAGAAATTTTGCGCTAGAATATCGTTTATTTCACGAAAATTTCCAATTTCCAATAAACGCGACTCAAAAATAACAGTTTGTTCGATTATAAAAAATCGTATCTCGCTAATAGTGAGTCGCTACCCAACAACTTTAGACATTTGCGGTTTAAACGGTTTTATTTTTAATAAAATTTGCAATTTTTTGTGTTTTATAAGATTTTTTATAAAATAACGTTACCCACAGAAAAATTCTATTTTAACTTTTAGTATTTTTGAGAACTTTTTTTTAATTAGTTCAACATTGTACCAAGTTATTTGACAATAAAAAAGCCATTTTTTCTAAAATTAAGTATTTTTGAGAGAGAAAAAAAATTAAAAAAAAAATATATCTCCACCGAAAATTGAACCCGAA